CTCTTCCGATCTAATATATTGTTCAATAAAAATAGAATGTATAAATATTAACACATTTGTAAAAATATATATAATACATCCTTAAATATACATACATTATACACATTGTAATTCAAAACAATTACTGTTAGACTCACGTAGACAGAAGCATTACTATTATAGAAGCAGATATCTATAAATTTCAGCAACATCATGATCAGGTCAATAATCACGAAGTCTTTATGAAATGTTAACAACCTAATGCGTCTAAAAATATTTCTGTGGAATGGGTAAACTTATTGATTTGGAATGCAAATGAGAATGGCAATATCAGCCCCAAAACGGACTTCAGTACTTAAATTAATAATTTTTTTTAGTAAATCTTTATTATAATTTCTAGTTCAAACAAAAAGCGCGCCGATAATTTGTCGATCGTATGTTTAGTTTCATTAACGTAGTTAATAGATTACCTTTAATCTTGATTCAAGTTAGAATTAGTTTTTACCTTCTTCTAATTCTTAGAATTAGAAAAAGATGAAGAGTAAGTTGAACCTTACTTAACACATTACTAGTTATTAAATTTTATTTTTCAGAACCCAAAGCAGCAGGTATTGCTAACAGTGCCAACCATTTCTCACACAGAGCAGCAATTATTGCCAACCATTGTTCACACAGAGCAGCAGCTACTGCCATCCAATGCTCATACAGAGCAGCAGCTACTGCCAACCATTGTTCACACAGAGCAGCAGCTACTACCAACCAACGCTCATACAGAGCAGCAGCTACTGCCAACCATTGTTCACATAGAACAGCCAGTACAATTTGAGAACGAATCTTCTGTTAAGGTAAGTAGTATGTACAATGCTTCATTTTGTATAATTAGCTTTTGGCTTAAATATGATTAATTAAATAAAATAAATGTTCTAACAATTTATTTGAAGGAAAGAAATGAATGAAACAAAATTGTATTGGTCACTTTTCTAAAAGACTATATTTTATAAAAGTATTTTATCTGTTTTTAGAAGAATATAATTTGATTGGGTAAACCTTAATGCAATGTTAGCCTACATGTTCATTAATCCATTACACATAATGGACTACTAGTGCTTACATTTCTAAAAATTTATTGCTGCTTAATTGATTCAAAGACATAGGCACTGTTAAGATAAGATTGTGAAAACTATTGCAGTAAACGTTTTAAATCTACTATTTTACTTTATATTGTAAATAAAGAGAACTGATAAAATATTACATTGTTTTGGATATGTACATTGATTTTCTAAAATGTCATAATAGCATATTTTTTTATGTATGCAATTTCCCTTTATTCTCACTTTATAGGAAAATGTCACAGATTTTGCGGGAAGAAAAGTAAAAACTGAGAAATTAAGAAGACTCAGCCGCAGCAAGCTGTCCCTATTTACAACTTCTGTCATGGACCTTGTCTTTACCGATGAAGAAATGGCCACTTCCAGTATGACTGGAATAATAAGCAAT